CCAGGGCACTTTTCTTTTTCTTCCGGCGGCTCGGACGCACGCTGAGCAACTCCGGCGCCGACGACAAAGGCCTCAATCGAATTACTACCGTTGAACATCTACTGCCTTTCTTCAAGCGCGTGCTCGTTGTCACTTTCCTGCCTTTACGATGCTTCTTCCGTCTACGCTTTTTCGTAAGGGGCCTCTCTGAGGCTGCTGCTCGCGCCTCTTGCTCCCTAGCACTCTCGCTGGTTTTGTTAGCTGTCTTGCCCACGCAGTCCTAATGATTTGCGCACAAATCGTCCTCTTACTCTCCAGACTGGCGGACAGCTTAACGCGTCTCGTAATACTGCAGCTGTTTTCTTATATAAGTGGTTATATCAGAAGAAAAGAAAAGAAAGGTGCCGACCCGTAACTGTCTCTCCTTACGAGGACACCTCAACAGGTCAGCAGAGGAATGGGATATTGGGAATAAAAGATATAGGAAAAAAGAAGGAGGGATAAAAAGAATAGAAGGAAAATAGACCGAGAAGAAGCCAGCCAACGAGAGAGAAAAAGAAGGAGATAGGAAAGTGGGGATCCGGTCGAAGCAGTCCAAGGGCGGGGTGCCACAATGCGAAAGCTGCACGGCTTCAGGAGACCGCGGAGGGCGAACCAGTCGGCGGGAGCTACGCTGAAGTCTGAGATCGCGAGGGCACAACCGTCCAGCTTGAAATCCTGCGAGCGAAATCTGTTTTCTTCCGAAGGAGCTAGCTCGCACACCAGGGAGGTACTCACACCATCTCCTGAATTCATCCCGGTAATTTTGGTTAGCGCGTCAAAATCCTCTTGAACACCGCATGCAGGATCCACCATGATGATAATCTCTCGTGAATCCAGCCAAAATGCCTGGGAGCTGTGCACAAGTGCTCCATCCTGCGCTACCTCCTCAGAAATTTCTTGCATCGCCTTCCTGTATTGTTCTTTACTTATTTTCTGTTTCTCTATCCGTTCCTGATCTAATTATTACATATTCGCGAAGTGCTCAATATCGGCCGTGTTACTTTTTCTTTCGAGAATTACCTCACGAAGTTTAGATGCAGGCATATCATCCACGAATTCTAGGTCGAGATCTCGACACAGGTTTAGCAGGTTATCTCTCGTCAATCTCATTAGGTCCGTGGTGACTACTTCGCTTTGGCTCAGCTGTGAAAAAACACAAACCCACCAGCATTTCAATTCTGGGTCTGAAGAAATCGAAGCCTGGTAAATCCCACAGCGGAGACCGAAAGCATAAGCACACAAGTAGCACTGCGTGGCCAACCTCCATCTCTACACTTTTTCTATTTCTTTTTCACTCCTCTATTCTTCAAAATCCCAAAACATTCCCCTCAACGAACGCTTACAACTCCCGCAAACTCACGTACCTACTCGATTACCTAAGCTGTACTCAACCTACTTGCTCAGATAATCGAGTGTTGCTCTGTACTCAAATAACAACCGCAGGGCTTGGCAGTTGTTCGTTATACCTACCTCTTAACGGGTCTAGGCTCAATGACTTGATACATCTCAAGCAGAAAGCGGGGCGCTCGCTCGATTATGTGCGGTCGTGGTACGCTGCGTCAATCCCACCGAATTCCAGGGCTAGGGCTTTCGGCTGACCCCTGGTCCATGTCGCTATCAGTCGCTGAGTCTCATCCCACCGCTCCCACCAGTTGTTGCGACCGCGAATTGCGGCACCGGAGATCCGGGAACAAGATATTGAGGCAAGAGGAGGTTGTACTACGTAGAGAGGGTTTATTTAGATTATTTACATGACACGGGCTCGCTGGCCCGAAACTCTACATTGAAAGCTCTAGATTAAAAAAGGGTTGTCTGTTGAGCAAGCTCCGTGAACCACACTCAGCAGCCCGCGAGGGCTGAATAAATACAGTCTTATTTCCCCAGATCCCTAGATCGGGGAATAGGTCCATACGGCACTGTCCACATAAAAGTGTGGCAGCTTGGGCTAGTTGGTATGGCATGACGATAGTTATAGCGCGAGAACAAAACGACGACCCAAAGGCAAGAAGGACACGAATGACACGAGCACTCGTGTCCTTGGTGTCCTTCTTGTCTCTGTGTTGTCATTTTGTTCTCGCACTATAACTATCGGCACTGTCCACACACAGGTCTCATAATGCCGACACCGCCCCAACAAACACACATACACAAATACACAAACTGAACATGTGCATGGTCCCTGCGATGCTGCCTCCTTCAACGAATCTTGTTTGAGCGAGGTGAAACGAGTCTCATCTCGCCGCTCGGGCCAACCACTCATGCTTTGTCGAACGGCGGTCATGGCCTAGGCGCCACAGGGGGACTAGGCCTGCTCAACTAGTGCTGATTTGAGCGCCTGCGACTCATCAGTCAGAGACGCACAGCGCGATGGTCCGACGTCCGTAATCGGCGGAAGCTCAGCATTGTGACTTTTATCGGGTCACAAAGACGCTACGTGTCTAACCTTTGCGCGGACCCGAAGGACAGCGGTGATCCATAAAGTAATTTCAGCCACGCCGCCCCAAGCACATGGATACAGCAGGGCGTCTTGACGCTGCTCCTAATCTCCGTAAAATTACGCGGTGGCTGCCTTTTTTCCTTTCTTGCGGCCGCGGCAAAAGGGTGGCCCGCCAAACACAACAATGGACAATATCCGCTGTAATTTACCGCTGGCGTTACCGGCACTCACCATATATATATTCGTATCTACATCTAAGAAAACGGATGAAATGAGAAAAAATCCTTAAAAGGGCTCCGGCGGGCTTAATAAAACGTTATCCTTCAATTCGCGAGTGTGAGGCAATAACGATGAGCCACCGTGGAGCACGTCCGTCAACGTTCAAACAGCAACCTATTTACCGTTCACCGCTGGCGATGGTCATCTCGGAAAGGAGGGGGGACTATCGTGCGTTCAGCATTACCAGCAAGACGGCGCATTGAGCGCGCGGTGGTTCGCGTCCTGGGGGGGGGGGGGGGGGGGACTATCGCATTTTAAACATTACCAGCAATATGGCGGAATGAGTGCGCGGCGCCGCGCGTTCTCATCTCCCACGGGTTGCCCCTCATAGTAGAGAAGGTAGGTACTCCCTCACGCACCATTATCATCTGGTGCCGACGATCGTACGTCTTCGCTGTCGTTGGGCCTTCGCTAAAACCTTTCTGTTGTAGTTACCGGGCGCACAAAGGTCACTGAAATCGTCGCGCAGTTTTCGTTTGAGAAAAGGGCGCGCCTTTCAGCCACAGTGAAGTAACAACTGGGACGCTTATTCGCGTTCGTCTGTACCCGTGAGGACGTTTCGTGCGTCATTTGTGCGTGAGAAATGCGGGGAACGTTTTCATCTACTTGCCATTCGGCGCGTGACCTTCTAATTTGCTGCTATCGCGTTCATTACTTCGATTTCGCGGCAAAGCTGTGAATTTTTCTATAATATACCTTTGTTCCGCCTTGCTGGCTATCATTTGCTTTTTTTGTTTGTTTGTTTCCTTGTTTTTCTTTTACTTTTTGTCTATATTTTTGCAATGTACATACTGATGCCCCCCTTACTCAATTACTTTACTGCGCTTGTAAGGCATTTTGAAAAAAAAATAGTGACAAAGACTCAGTATTACTTTGGCACCTATACGCCCCTCTCTCCTTATGACAAAATGAACGGCAAAGGAAACGAGCGATCTAAAAACAAAATTGCCGCATCAACACCTGACAAACATCAGCATTTCTTCATTTAGCCGCGTTCGTTCATCACTTCTTGATAACTCTGGCCTAAGGAACAGATCAAATGGATGAACCCTTCAACTTACATTGGCAGGCACGATCCAATTTGCAGTCGTGAAGCTGCTTTGAAGACAGGCTATTTAACCAGCCACTGGTGAAGTAGTTGTGCTGTTCTATTGATTTGTAGACGTCAATAATTCGGCCTGAGTAACAAGGTAAGTGCTGAAAATCAAGCAGTTTACGATGCCTCTGTGTCAAATTTCTGGGGGCTCTGCCCCACTAGTCTAGTTGCTAAGGTACTTGTCTGGTGACCCGCAGTTCGCGTCATCAAATCCCGGCTACGGCGGCTGCATTTTCGGTGGAGGCAAAAGTGCTGTAGGCCCGCGTGCTCAATTTTCGGTGCATGTTAAAGAACTCGAGGCAGCCGAATGTTTCGCAGCCCTCCAGTACGGTGTCTTTCATAATCATGTGGTGCTTCTGTGACGTTACACCCGACATAATGATCTATCAATTAAGTCAGTTGATTTATTTCTGGAGTTTAACGTCCCAAAACCGCCATATGCTTATAAGAGACGCCGTAGTGGAGGGCTCCGGAAATTTCGACAACCTGGGGTACTTTAACGTGCACCCAAATCTGAGCACACGGGCCTACAACATTTCCGCCTCCATTGGAAATGCAGCCACCGCAGCCGTGATTCGATCCCACGACCTGTGGGTCAGCAGCCGAGTACCTTAGCCACTAGACCATCGCGGCGGGGCGATCAATCAAATCGCATTTTCGGTATGGCACAGGTGTTCAAAGTTGTGTCTGTTTCGGGTCGAACAGTCTAGCATTCCACATCGTCGCACAACTGCACCTCTTCTTCATCGCGAAAACAGGCTTGCCCTTTCGGTTTTACATGCAATACATAGCATTTCAAAGCTGCCTTGTGCCAACCGGTGACAGCCAGGCTGCCATGGCCGCATTTTTAACGAAGATGAATATGCCTTAGGCCCGTGTACTTACATTTGTGTCCACTTTGAATAACATCAGGTGGTCGAAATTTCCAGAGCCCTTTACAACGGCATCCTGAACATTTGTATTGTAGCTTAGGGACATTATACACCGAAATATTATAATAAGTTTGTACTACAAATTTGATTAATGCGTGAACTATTTTGCACGTTTTCATGCTGCTTTGTACACAATAGCTTTATTGTTTGCACATTCTCCACCTAGTAGGTGTTATACCCTAAGGCGGTGGACTCTATAGAGAAAATACTTACAACGCATAACTTTTTCCTGCAGGCTCCTCGAACTAGTCAAGGGTCCCACGCGAGAGAAGCGTCTGGCAAATGGCCCACTCGCATCTGACTACATCGTGGTGTTCGGCACGCCCAAGAAAGCCACGACCGCATCTCTGCGAACACGTTTTCAGAGCAGTAGGGCACCGTTCCTGTTGAGCCTGCGCAGAAGCACTGAGCACGCTGCAGCAAAGAGTATGGCGCAACATGCAAGCACCCTAGGGTGAGCTTGGCGTATTGCTTAGATTTAAACTCGGTAGCGCTAAAAAGCTCGTTTCGCAGGAGTTCCGGCGTAGACGTAGCCATGGGCGTCGTTGGTCGTGAGCCAGAAATCACCATCTTGTCCATGACCTAAGAAATGAAGGAAGATGAAAATAAAATAATATTAATAATAACTTCATTGACAAGAGATAATCGCACGCAGGCACTGTGAGTGGCAAGCAAGTGTCCTAACAAAAAGCCATGCTGCGGTTCGAAGCTAGTTCGGAAACACACACACACACACGCACGCACACACACACACGCCCACACACACACACGCCCCCACACACACACGCACAACACAAATGTCACGTAGTGGAATTGGTCTCTTTAACGCGCGTATTTTTGCGTGGCAGAAGTGTACTGTCACGCAAAACATCAAACTATGTGAATGGGTGTTTTAAAGGTTCAACCGCTACAAAGCGATCAATTATACGTTTGCGTGTTGCCTTATGGATGCTTAGTGGGCCCTTCGTTGATTCGCAGAACGAACTATTGTAACTTAGTGGGCACTTAGCAGTTGTACTTATAATGAACACGCTATGCAACCATGAAACGGCCAATGTTATGTACACAGTCTCAGTCGTTGAAGCATGCACCGAGAACAGAAGCGGGCTAGTAATTGCGAAGGTGATGGTGACGGGGCTCGACTACACTGTCTCGTTCTACTCTTGAATGCGCAGCTCAAGAGCCCTCCCATATTTTCGTGTGAGTGACCCTCGAGACATGTTCGAACGGTTATCAGTTTTATTGACTTTAGATTTTGAAACCCCATGTATGTAGTAAAAGCTATTCATTCAGCCGAGAAGGCGGAACTGCGGCAAGGAAAACGCTTTTTTTTCCTCAATTTCAGAAACCTAAATATATGTACTGCTAACTGTTAACTATTCAGCAGTAGGCATGTGCGATTTCCAAGCTCTCAATATCTTCCATGTTCGAAAAAAAAGTAGATAAATTTGTCTACAAACACTTTTGTCGTCTAGAAAATGGTATTCGCTCTTTCGCATGACAATGGCGGTGGATGCCTCGTGATAAATGGCTTTATTCCATGTTGTGTTAGCTTTCAATGCTTGCCTTTTCCTGCTATAAACATTGAAAAACTATGCGCTTATCGAAACAGTGCCATGATTTAGAAGGTGAAAGAGGTTTGTATGGTGCATGAGCAAAGGCATTACACCAAGCACTTGTCTTAGAGTAGCGTAAATGTGCATGCATACTACTCCTTTTTTGTGGTGGTGTGCAATGCTTTTTATACACCTGATGAATGAAGCTGTTATGTATACCTTTGAGGGATCAAATACTACAATTATTTTCAAATAACATGATTATTGTTTTAGCTCAAATTTTCGTAAGTTCTGCACTTCTACTTCTGCCCAACTTTTGAGTAGAGATAGTGGGGTCAAGTCACGACGGGCTACATGCAGACGGCAAAGAATGTGTGTTTCTCTTGCGGAACTGGGAGTATGAAAAGGCATCCTCTGCCCCCAGTTACCAGCTGTCCGGAGCGGAGCCTTCTACCTTGTGGCACGCCGTCAAGCTCGTTGAGACTCTAGGCTGCCAGTCCCTGAAAGTTTTCGGAGTACCTGAACCTAAGTTATGCAAGTAAGTGGCCAATTTTGCCAATCTAAGTAAAATAAACCGCACTGGGCTACTTTGCCTTTATCCCGTACTCCAGTGAGGCGCACGTTCTACGTACAGTATGCCTCCCAAAAGGCTCAAGAATCTCCCAGAAGTTATGCGTTATCAATGTGTTTGACGCCGTCTCATTTCAACAAACGTCGTCCATATATACAAATACTGCGCTCACCGCACTTCAGATTTTATCAACGTGCAGTTCACACAAGTGTGATACGCCAAGCAGTTTTCGCGATTGTACTAACTCTATCATTACTAAATCCAGTGTATATTGAAGAAATAATATGGCAACCCAAAGGACAGAACACCCAAGCATTCACACAGATTGGGCGCTGCGTCTTTGTAGTCCCCGGATGTTCTTTCTTTTATTTTGATAGCTATTATACGGAGATGCTCGGCTGCATTTTTGCCGGTGTCAACGTCACCGTCGCTCACCGAATATAAATACGAATCTATATATGAGAAAACGCAACAAAGAAAAGTAATTCAGAAAAAAAATCATGAACCATCTCTCCGAAGGGAACCCTGATGAGATGCGAAGCAGCAGCAGTGCGCACGGCGTTAACCCAGTTGAAACGGGCGTCGACACGGGTGCTGGAAAAATGGTTTGAAGCAAAACTTAGTGTAGCGTCAGTGTTACCTGCGCGCCGTCTCTATTCTCGAACGCGATCCGCATTCTCGACTCACACCTCGTCGGTGTCGTTAGTCTTTCACTGCTGACACTTGGGTTCGGCTTCCCTGTTTCGCGCCTCGTTGGTGTTCTAGGTGCGACGTCGCCAATCGCGAACGCGATCGCCTTCACTAACACGCAACGCGAGCGACGGCCGGGAAAGGTACGCGCATTCGAGCGGGATGCATGCCCCGGCATAGTGCGGCAAGCAGCGGCGTGCTGTACACATTACCGGCGCCGTCAGACCACGGCCGGCCTAGACGACGGTAGGTAGGTAGGTAGTAAACTTTATTCACTCAGTTGACAGGAGAGAGTTGGGGACGGCTTTAAGGGCCGGCCCCTTACAAAACTAGGAAGAGTCCCTAGTCCAGGACCCCTGTGGCTTCTGCTGCAGCACGCACTCGGGCCACTAGGGCACGCTGGTCCTCTAGGGTCGAGCAACCGAGCAGGGCAGCCTCCCAGCTCTCTCGGGTAGGGAGGGAAGGGGAAGGAAGTGGCGGGACCGCCGGATTTGAGGGGCATGCCCACACCTTATGGAAAGGATCCGCGAATGGATGGTCACAGTGCGGGCATTCCCCAGAGAATGCCGGATTGAAATGTTTGAGTATCGCCGGGCACAATACTGTATTGGTATAGAGACGGAGGAGCCAGCGCTCGTCCTTCTTGGGCAGGCCCGATGCTGGGGGTGGGAAGCGGAGCCTGTTCGATTTGTACATAGCGGTGATTTCTCTGAAAGAGGTAGCTGGATTGGGTTCTGGAACATAAGGCGATGGAGGGCGAAGCGGGTCCCGGTAATTAAGCGCGCGGGCCGAGGCATCTGCAGCCTCGTTTCCAACTAGCCCCGTATGAGCAGGAGTCCAGATGACGGTGCGTGGATTTGGGCGATCTAGATAATAGCATCGCTTAAGGATTTCGGCGGCGCGATCATTGATGCAACCCTGTGTGAGATTTTGGCACGCCCTCCGCGAATCGGTAATAATTATCCGAGATGCGGGGTCCGCTGCGGCGAGGGCTATGGCGACCTCCTCCGCGTGTGTGATGTCCGGTGCTCGAAAGGTGAGCCCTTGAATAGGTACGTTTTGGTGAACCACAGCGGCCGTGTACCACCCGCCGTGGTGGGGGCCGGATGCGTCCGTGTAGAAGACTCTCGGGCGTGAGCCATACCGTTGCTGTAGGGCTGTAGCCCGCGCTGTACGCCGCCCATCGTGAGTCCCATTTGTCATGTTTTGGGGCAGAGGCGGTATGATCAGTGCACCACGCCAATCCTCGGGGATCGCGGTACGCTCTTCCACCTTGTGGGTGTTGGAAATGTGGAGGCGGTGTAGGAGGTTGTTCCCATCCTGAGACCTACTACGGCACGCGAACGCACTGACCCGCGGCTTCTTCTCGTCGATAGATGGAGAGAGTTGGCAAGGGTGAGGATATGATGCCGGCGTGAGGAGTAGACTTGAGCGTTGTTTGCAGTGGAGAGGGTGAAGTGAGAAAAATGACACGCGGCGAGCGGCGACAAGCTAGGGAGAGACTGACGTCAAGCACGCGCACTGCGACGGAAACCGTGACATATTTGGCACCGCCTCGGTGTGTAGAGAGGACGTTACACAGACTAGTACAACAGCTGCTTCGCATCTTGAGACTCCGGCGCGTGGAATCAAACATGGGATCTCTGAATTGTGAGTGCGAGGCGCTAATCACTGAGCCACAAAGAAGCACAGCACTGCACAACAACCTTCTTGTGGCAGTTGCCTTCATTGATATTAAAAAAGGCATTTGATATCGTCAACCATAGTATTCTGCTTAATTAATTAAAATACTATGAATTCCACAGGAACGTTTTTAGCCTTTTTTCCAACTACATTGATGGACGTCATCAAATGGTCAACATGCAAGATCTTACTTTGTCTATAATAACCATAAAGACAGGGTTACCTCAGGGGTTGGTCCTGGGGCCACTTTTATTCTTACTATATGTAAATGATTTACCATGCATACTCAAATCGGCCGAGTTTCACGCTGATGACACAGCTTTAACAGTTACGGGCGATAACATAGCCGAAATAGAATATGGGGCTAAGGAAGAACTAAAAGATATTGCTATGTGGTTTACAGTGAACAAAATGAACAAGTGCCAACTATAGCATGTAAAAGAATTTAAATGTCTCGGTGTAGTGTTCGACAGCCAATTACACTGGAAAAAAACAAATTCTGTGTGTACTAAACTAACATTTGGGTGCAGTATGCTACTGGCTGCTAGAAATTATTTTAGTAGCAATATTCTCCGAGTCCTTTATTTTTCGTTTGTTCATTGTCACCTTTCCTACTGCTTAGACTCATGAGGATGGACCTTTGAAACTTACTTTGATCTTATCCGCATGCTATAAAAACGAGCGCTTAGGATAATCGATTATGCGGCATATGATGAACCCAGCTCACCTTTGTTTCGGAAGTTGGATGTTTTACCTTTCGATTACATTCGGCAGCATAAAACCGAAGTCACCATCAGTAATGGTATTGCACACAGTGTACCTTTCTCTGTATTTATCTTTTCTTTCTCCTTAAGCGTCACTAGATGCATGACATTGCGGAATTTTAATCTTCCACCGACTAAAAACGTGTATCGTGAACGCTTACTACAATTCGTAGGAACCACAGTGTGGAGTAACATACGACTTCATAATAAAAATTGTAGGACTTTCTCAAGCGCACTTGAAAAATATTTGCAGCGTGTAGAACAATAGTATAAACCATGTACACAAAACTCACACATTGTTTGATGTTTCGTATGTATTGTTTATTTGATTAATTATGAAAAAAAGTCTAACAATTTGTCCTCTGTACATTTCTGTACGTTCCATCAAACATTTATGTCACCTTAAATCCCAATGAAACCTTTCGTGTATTTTGTTTGTTTTCTTAAAAAGTTTTTTTGATGTTCTTATTTTTTATACAACTTATATTCTGCTTGTATACTTTCTTCAGTTAGACCACCTACTAGCCTATGGCTATCAGTGTAGTACATTTCATGAAATGTAATCAAAACAACCGCTATAAAATCTTAAAATCTATTTATCACTACCCTTTACTGCTGGTGACGGGCATCTCGGGGGAAACTATCGTGTTTTCAGCTTTCACAGCAAGATGGTGCAACGAGCGCACGTCGCACACATCATCACGACGCGGCCGGTGCGTGCTCTCATCTCCCGCGCGTACTTTGCCTTGCGGCGAGGAAGCCGGGTGGATACTAATGCGCCCGCCTATCATGCGGTGGGGACGATTGTACGTTTTGTCTGGCCTTTGGCTTTCATGGGAGCGATTCTGTTGTAGTTACCGGGTGCACAAAGGTAACTGCAATCGTTGCAAAGTCTCCGTTTGAAAAAAGGGGCACTTTTTAGACGTGGCGCAGTAATAAATGAATCACCTATTTGTGTACATTTTTACCTGTGAGTACGTTCGTGCGTCACTTGTGCGTAAGAAACACGGGGCACGTTTCGATCTGCTTGCCATTCTGTGCGTGGCCTTCCAGCCTGTTGCTATTGCGTTCACTGCTTCGGCATTGTGAGAAACTTGTGAGTTTTTCCGAATGAAAATGTTTCAGGAGTATGAACAATCTCACCCCGACATTTGTTTATGCAGTTTATGTGTATGCATGTGCTTGTAAAATGAGTTGGTAATCATTCCATAGCGTGTTGTTGCGTCACTGCCTGGAAGTCTACTGCCGAACGCTTTCCGCGGATGCCTCAGTATTTGTAACATGCACTGTTTCCCGTGAAGCCAATGTTGATCACCGATGAACTTGTCACCACACTCTTTGTCAGTCTTGTATAGCTATAAATTTGTTTGCGATTATATGCTGGTAGAAGAAGGGGCGTGTTAAGTGTAAGTAAGCATTGAACTATCTACGTTTTTTGTCAATGCATATCCATCTACAAATATTCTCCATCTTATATTGTTACAGATACAATATTGTCACTTAAAAATATGGTCACATGTAGCTATGCCTGTTGCGAGAAATGTCCACTCTATTCATAATGTGAGCAGATGGTAAGCCAGAGCCAAAGTCTTGATAGAAAAAGTCAATGTTAAGACTCAGGAAAGCTCGCTTGGTAACGCGGTTTACATGTCCAATAAACAAGCCGTCACAACAAAACTTGTGAACCGCAATTGTGAACTAGTCAATTCAGCTTCCACCTACACAACACAATCAGAAAGCGCGGAGCAAGTAGCCATTGCGTTGAAACCTTTACACCAAAATAGTTCGAGGATTCACAGCGATTCTAAGGCAGCCATTCGAGCTTTTGATTGATTCATATGCGGGGTTAACGTCCCAAAACCGTCATATAGTTATGAGAGACACTGTAGTAGAAGGCTCTGGGCATTTCGACCACCTGGAGTTCTTGAACGTACACGCAAATCTGAGCACACGGTTCTACAGCATCCAATCATTTGCCCAAGGAGTAATCTCGATGCAAGCGGCTCTGGCAATGCACAAAGCAAAGTAATCAAACCACACATGAATATTTTTTTCTGCTTATTAAAGAGAAATGAAAGATGTTCTTGCGAACACCAACGAATGTGCCCACGATGGTGCACGAGGATTTGTGAACCATGCAGCCACAAGGAAGAACATGCTGAGGTTTCGGGTGCCAGATCGCCTCCCCTCGTACAAGAAGCTGTGGCCATTACACTAAGGCTATTTCCAACAAGAACGTATTCGAACCCACTGTTAAATATCAAGATTTATTCAGAGTTCTGTACTCGTACAACATGCGATAAATGCCACGACACCACAGATCTGGCTAATATGCTCTGGCGTTGCTGCGCGTTATGCCGCGACAACGAAAGTGCTGAAGAACGATAGGGCACAGTCCTATGCCGTTCTACATCAGAGGGCAAATTATCAGTTGTACCAACGGGCCCGCGAAGTGGCTGATATGCTTAGTGTTTCAGTCCTCACGAGCGAGTGGCCTGCTTCGAGCTAAAAAAATTGCGCGACCTACTGCACCCTAGAAACATTTTTTTCATCCATCTATTCATTCTAAATCTAAATGTGCCAGGTCTTGTAACATACTTCGTTTCATACATCAAGTGCCTACGCTTTGGAAGCTAGCGAGGATTCTTTCAGAAGATGCATTCGCGCCGAAAATAATTCAACAATGTCACATTCCGTACTGTGATTTCACTTTTCAGTTTTTAGACTGAGTACTGAATGAAGATCCTTTGTGCCTTATCAACGGACAAGCACCATTGTTTGTACCATTGTTTGTAAAGCTGTCTATATATGTTATTTTGGGTTTCTTAGCATCTCTTCGTTTACGTGTGGTGTCCCCGGCTATGAATTTGGGTAACCTGTAGCTGGAGCTGATTCTGCATGCCACGTTAACAGCAACGAAACCCATGGGCTTGATGCGTGGACTACACTTTTTGCTGACCGTATAATCTTGCACACCTTCCCCAGCGTAGCACGTGATGAATGGCACAGAGTATATTTATCCGGAAATCTTGTGCGGACTAGTACTCTCTGCAATCATTTTCTCGCTTTGTTTTTTTTTGTTTTGTACCTTGTGTTGAATGTTACTATTTCATGCAGCATCGTTAGTAAATAATCGTGATTTGCTTCACGTGGCAAGATTCCGTCCTGTTTTGTTTCGGTTTGCCTGGCCATTTCTTCGCAGTGGTCCACTTGCTTGCGTTTGTATTTAGTAAATGGCATCTTGGAAACACCTCCTCTTTCTGTTGCATCTGTATATTGCTTACACCTCGTTGTGTGCCGAACACAAAGTACAGCAAGAGCTGTAGATAAAAACATGAGGCGTCCGTAGCAGCGTCTCTTATTATAAATAACAGGCCTTTATAGCATGGCCAAAAGTGAACAATGAGCTCGTTGACTTTTATTTATGCAGAAAAAAAGCCCCAGGATTATGAACAAATACTATGCTACTACGTGCGCTTAAGCACGCCATAGTAGTGTCATGAAATATTAGTTAGGCAAGTCTTTCTGCTCCTGCACCTCAATCACTAATGGTGCGGTAAATAGCTGATCAATTATTAACATTCTGTAAAATGAACTAGAAGCCGCGATATCCAAGTTCAGTAACATGTAGTAGCTTCTTCAGAAATGAGACTGAGATTACTGACCTGTGTTTGCTCTTGTCGCGTTTTCAATTTATAAAAGGAAAATATTTTTATGAAAATGACAATCCTGTATCACGCTTTGAATTGTGTATTTTCTTGTACCAGTGCGTATTCGTAGGACTATCTTCAAATGATTTTGTAAACGTTAGCCTCTTAATGTTCCAATAAAATTTAAATTTCAGAATTTTTTAAATTGTAATATTATGCTTTCGGAAACGCACAGCGAAGTTATTACAACTTAGCCTGGAATAAAAATCAGTCACCCACATGATGGCGCCTCATCGCAGAACGCGAGTAAATAGTACTAGTAATATTCAACTAAATAAAACAAAGAAAAACAACCAATGAAGTATGTCTCCCTCGCAAAACCAATGCAAGGCTGGCATGCTCAGTGTGGAAAGTTTTTGGAAACCCATCTATCGAAAGGCGTGTTTCGCACAGATAACATAAACGTTGCTGGTTCTGAAGAATTTCATTCACCTTATTACTAGTAGAATTGATCAGAAGCCCTTTACCGTTTCATTGTGCAGGCGGCAGCGTGATGAGCCATCGCGTTCCCGTTTCTGGGAGTACTCGTCGCCCCCTCAGTGCACAGACGGTGTCGACGTGGGCCACAACGAGGACCCGCTGAAACCGGATCCTGCTCACCTGAGCCTGGTCGACCGCAGGGCGATGGCTGGGTGGCTGCAGTCTGCGAAGAGGCTTGACGTCCGATTCTTGGCTCCAACGTGGAGTGTTTTCAAACATGCTTCCTCTGCTACATGACACGCCTAGAACATTTCTACTTCGACGCAATAGGTTCAGCACATCAATACGACGGTTAGCCGTACGTCGCAGGCGACGCCTCCTTCAAGAAGGTGCTACAACACAATTGTCAACCTGCTGCGCTCGTCTTGCGCGGTGCTGTTGGACCAAGTGAACTCATTCAAGATGGAACCGTTCTGATGAAACCGCGGTCAAGAATCCCGTGGAAGTCAAAGAACGAAAATCGCGTATAACGAAGATGCAATCACGCGTTGTTGCTCTGGCAGTGAGATATCAAGCTTCAACATGATGTGATGTTCATGAGGCTTATTAGACTACCGAACAAATTTTTGACAGGATGAATGTTACAGAAATTGGCGCACGTGCAACTTCAAATATTATTAGGTTGCGTTGCAACTATCGTTGGCGTTTCACATTTTCATGCACATGAGTTTCCCTGAAGCACAAGAGAGACCCTTCTGCTCGGGCGGCTGCAGTATAACAAGTGAAACTACCTGCATCATTCTACTGCGCCATCTGTATTATGCGAAGTGCACCGCTCGTGCTTTTCTGGATGCAAAGCAGCTCTTTGGCTAGCTTGAGTAACGCTGTCCGGTGCGTTCACATGAACTCCCTCGCCAAAGGTGTTAGAGCGGTGCTACGTAGGTCAAGTGCGTAGACGCTGTGCGTAGACGTAACTCTCTGGCTCACCCGCAACAGCTGCTGGCCGCTCCGCGCGCTCGCAATACAGTTTTCTCTCACTTAACCCTCTCCACCATCCGCAACGCTCGACCGCACGTCGAGTGGAAACACAAAACAGATTTAGTTGCGCATCTGTAGCACCCGTACAGACGCAGCCTGCCAGCTATTCGCAAAGGGAAAATTTGGTTGAACCGCATCAAAAAACAGCAAGCGCTCTCCTTGTCAGCCTTTTTTGTCTATCTGTTTTTGGTGGGCTTCAAGAAAATTTTCGATCGTGAACGTATTCCAGCTGGCCCAACTTGTCATCTTGTCGCAATAGGAGCTGGCGTCCGTACGGATTCTTCGGACGCGCAGCTAAGTCTGTCTACTCTTTGATTGTTGATCGGCGATGAAACTTATACACGAAACCAAACCCGCCTCCCGCGTCTTTGCGTTTCAAACAAATGTTTACTCGAGTAAACACTACAACGAGCTTCACTTCAAACCGTTCTTCCAGCACCCGCGCTGACGCCCTTTTTAGCCGGGACAGCGCCGTGCGCACCGCTTCTGCTTCGCCTTCCATCAGGGTTCCTATCGGGAAGATGGTCCTTTTTTTTTACTCTACTGCAAACACCCATCGTACAGCAGATGCCATGCCAAACATGCACGAGTCGCGGTGATAGAAGTAGTTGTGCTCACTTCTTGTGATACCTTTTGCACCAGCTGTGGCCTTCTTGAGTTCCCACGAAGCATAAGTAGCCATTAATGAGTTGCTAAATGGAGCAACTCATCGCAACCCAGCAAGCATCTAAAGCAATGCTCTCGACTACTTACTACGTGTTCGTTAATGGAAGAGAAATAGTTGTCTAATAAAATAACTAACGTGTCACTCACTCTGAGTCAGGCATACAGTCTAGTAACAATACAAAAGTGCTGCCATTGTATGAGCTTGTGATACAGCGTGCATTAGTTATTTGTTATTGTAAAACCGCGCATGTGAGTGAACTTCACGACATGTTTCTTCTAAGCTATATCTCTCTAGAAAGACCACTTGTTTCCCGCAACGCTCACCAGTGTTTATAAACGCTCTATGGATTTGCTAAGTGACAGATTTGTTTTGGCGTCCACAGCAGCTCTGTGGATGCAGACTGTCCGCCATTTCCTGTTACAGGCTGCGTCCGCAAAGCTGTTGCGAAAGCTTAACTAAACCTGCCCAATGAAGTACAGCGGAGCTCTGCTAGGTGTTCATTCCACGAAGCGCATTCGGAAATTACCGCTTTGCTTCTTCTCGTTTTCTTTGTAAAGCGCAAGACTCCTATGTGAAATCTCCCTTAAAGGCTCATATTCCTGTCAAACGTGCACCTGCGAACACCGTTTCACTCGATGGTCCTTACGACAAGGGAGTTGCAGTCCGTCTCACACGGCTACCCTTACACAAACGAAGGTAAACGGGGTATGTTGCAAAGGAAGTTCGGCGATCTTCTTTTGCAGCAGAACGAGGCACTCTCGTACACATTAGTTCACAGGTCAGAAAAAATTTCGAGCTGTAAATTTCCGCAGTAAAAACAATACAACTTGGCAATAGTAGACGTTCTTTCGTTGCACAGGTTTTTTTTTCTTCGGATACGGCGGTGGTGGTAGTGGTGAGAAGAGGCAAAAGGCGCCTATTTCTGCAGCGTGGTTGGTAGCACGGCGCAGTGCCTTAATGTACACCTGGCATAGTGCAGCTATACTCTCTCCACCGTGCTTTGCGAGTCAGGCCGCGATATTTCGTCTGTGCGTGTGATTGTTCTCGTTACCGCGCCTGTGATTGCCCTTGGGAAGAATCACTGACAGCGCTGCATCATCGTCACCAGCTGAAGACATAGCATAGTATAGAGAAAACAAAAATACGCCAGGCCTGCGTGGAAGGCGCAGCATAGTCACAACGAAAGCTGAAAGAGCGTCCTCGCAGAGCCTTTTCTAAACGCTCATTGGGGAACTACTGCAAGCTCACCCACTACGGCAATAATGATAATTTTTTGGTACATTATAAGAAAACAAAATGTGCGTTCACGGGGCAAGAAAACACCATAACTTTCGTACACAAAGAGTTCTCGAGCACTGCGCCATCATAAAGGCACAAAGTGGCAAGCGTCGCTACCAGCATCGCTGCATTTAACGAATGCGTTTTCATTTGAAATAACTTTTTACAGTTTGTTTGCTTCAGACCTGCTTAAGAGTGCGTTTTCGTGAAAACCGCATACGTCCATCGAACGGCCTAGGGGAGATTTACGTTCACAGAGTTCAACAGAGTTTGGTGGTGGCCGTATGATAGGGTTATTAGAGAGAGTAAACGTTTCCAAGACTGTGTGGTGCGATTTTTGCTGCTAATGGTATGCACAGTCACAGCAGTGAGTGCGCTAGAGCACAAACGCTTTTGTGAATGTGAGCGGGCTGTGGTATGTATTGAACAGGTCGGTGTTCATTCTTGTTTTGCCAGTCTTGCTGATGCTGCTTACTTAATATTGCAAGACAGCGCATGCTGCAGCAAGCTGCGAAGTTGCGAGAGCAGGCTCTCGTCAAGTAAAGGAGGTTTGCGTTGCACCATTTTTGGGAATCTTGTTGCCTATAAAATAAAGCAAAATGCACAATTTAGTTGGAAGAAAGACCTTAAAGACGTAGGTATTGTATTTAGCTTACATACACGTAATGAGCTGGCAGCACTTTTCATAACATCCCGGTTACTGCTTTCCGGGAACTTGACATGCATTTAAAACAGATTGGTTACTAACGCGAGAGCGTCAAAGAGCTCGCTTTGCAGAAATTCAGGGGTCGGCGTCATTGCTTGTGAGCGAAAAGTCACAATTTTCGCGTGACCGAAAAATTTTGAATTATGCAAATAAAGTAAATAATAAAATTCTTTTTCAGAGTGGGAATCAAACCCATGTAGTTTCCGTGGCAAGCAGGTTGAACGCTTAAAGCACAAAGTGTTTGAAGTAAGCAGTACCAACAGAATATCGCTATCGCGTTCAACTTTTGAAGGCGAAGCTTAAAGGCCTCCAATGTTTTGCCACCTTTTGTATTCTGGCAATACTGGGCCTGCGGCGCTGATGAATTGGGTGTAGGCACGGAACAGTTTCTCTGCCTCCATTAGAAGACGTTGAGTAGTAGTTGTGGTGAAATCGGGTCGAAAGAATGCAGCCGTCTCCTTTAAAATTCAGTGCTTCACTGTCACAGAATCAACAAGATCACAATGCAAGACTTTCGCACCCAGATGGCAGCAGGAAGCCAGCTGCAAAAGGTTTACCGCTTCTCCATCAATTTGACGAACCTTCGGTGGCAGCATGCACTTCACATTATTTATTTATGTACCCTAAACGCCCGAGGGCATTACATGAGGGGAGGCGAGGGATAATTGTATGCATACATAAAATTACCACAAGCAATAAAGTAATCAAAGGTTTGTAAAACTCAACATCATCGTGCAAAAAGAGTGAGCTCTTGATGAAATAGTACATTGCGAAATAGTTGTGAGTGTCAAACATGTATTTAATGTAATGCAATATTTGGTCTCTTATATCTAAACGGTAAGAAAACCTCGTGTTAGATAAACAGAACATGCGTACCCTTGTGTTTTTTTTTCTTTTCTCTTTTCTTCACCCACAGCACCTGTGGCTCATTGTAAAATTACCACCATTGTGGAAGTACACATTGCTACCCTTTGCATTTCTTAACGGAATATGAAGAAACGAAAGTGGACGAAAAGATATCTTGCCATCGACAGGAACCGAACCTGTGACCTTCGAATTCGAAGGTGGCTGATTTGGTCATACGCCCGTGGCAATTTATCTTTTCGGCCCTTTTATTTCTTCACATTTACATGACAATTAATTCCAATAACGTCCCCAATACTTTTCTTGGCATTAAGGTATGTTAGTTCTCATCGATGTTGTCTCTGACACATGTAAACGAACCCATAAGTTTACAGTTTTTTTCTTAGTCGGTTTGCAATTGTGTGATTCATTATTTTCTCTCAATTAAAGCGAAGGGCCACGCAGAATTATCTTTGGGTAGCTTTCCGAGCAATGCGTAAAAGCAGAGTTTTATTGCTGAAGCCTTCCGTGGAACGTTGCTGTCGGGCGGGTTTGGCACGGCGTCGCAAATCTTTGTTGTGGCCGTCAATGTCTGCAATGGCACAAAATAAAGGTGCATACCACAATTACCAAATGTGTCTTTGGTGCTGAATTATTTTTTACAAGTCCGAAGCTTCTTCAAGTCTCTAATAGTCAGATCACCTTTAAAAATCACGAATAAAAGTTTTATTTTGCCATCGCGAAATATTCAGTCAAATTTTGATAGTAAATGTCGCTTTATTTTCTAATTTATTGCGGGTATTCAAATTCATAAAGTTTATACATAGTCATATCTAAGTGTTAGTATATAGCCCAGTTAGTATAGCACTCGCTATGAGATTATATGGTGCCTCTAGCTTAACACCCGGCGCTGCTGAGAAAAGTATATTTGTTATAGACCTCACTTTCCTCGTAGACATTCATCTAACTCAACAAGATCGACGGAACATATAAAGAAGTAGTTTTATCACTCGGCCAACATAAAACGTTTACTGATTCGAAAATTTTAATGCCTGAAATACTCCACATAGAGGAAAATAGTTTTATAGAATCATGTGTCTGCGGCGCCAATGACGTCTTGAATTGACCATGTGATTGGACACTCTCAATGAGCGTGGGCGCCTAAATAGACCCATTCCTTGTTTGTAAGCAGAACTAGGCGCGGACGACATACTGACACGCTTGTAGGGATGTTATAGCATGTGTGCTCCGCCCAGAACGAAACGCGCCAACGGTTTCTATGATGACGTGACAACTGTGTGGAAATAGTGTTCATGTGGAAAGAGAGCGCTCTGACCTTTCCACTGCCGGTGCTCTTCTAAGGTTGTCCATGGCTTGCCCATTGGGAAGCTTTCTGTAGAAACCAAAATGTGCGTGTGCTCGGCACCAAGGCTGCGACGGGATGAACGGCGTCACTAGCAACGCAGCCAATGGTGCACGCGCTTGGGTACAACTTTGAGGAGGACGTAATCTATAGCGCAGCGAATGGAAACCGCTCGTGACACCGAGTTTCTCGTAGCCATATACAGCTTTTGCTGTAAAAACAGCGTTTGCAGTACATAATATACTTGTTTAACCTTTCGTGCCATCAGTCTTCTTCTGCCAAAAAGAATATATTTTGTGCAGTAATTACACTTGCCCTCCCTGTCCCAGCATGAGAGCAGCCCCCAGTCTTACCTCAATAAAACGGGTGAAGGTTTCTTGGACGCGAATAAATGTTGCTTCATTTATCTGTCTGGTGATTAGCTCGCTCGCTAGTTTTTTTTTATTTCACAAAAGATACGTATCTCATGGAAAAACAAAGTTAAGGTTGTTAAACAATGAAGTGTATCTTTTGAAGTGGAGTACCAAGCTACAATATTCATGTCTGTTGTATGAGCCCCATGTCGCCTTTTTGTTTAGCCAATAGGAGGTCATCAAGTGCAGAGTGACAAGCAGACGACATGCTTAAAGTATGCCCTGCAGAAGCCTTCTCCGCACACATAATGCATGATAAGGTTCTGGCTCATGTTGGTAGACTTCAGCTTGCAAGTTATCAGGGATATACAAATGTATTCATCGCAGACTCTTGAATACAAGTCATCAATGCGCCCGATTGTAAAACTGAGCCTAGGCGATCTGAGGATTGGAGCAGTCAGTTTTGAACCTCACCTATGATGCAAGATCATGACATCTCATTCTTGTTGACGGAAAAAAATCGGAGGCTCCCTTTTGAAGAAAGACTCTTTACGAAGACTACAACTAGTAGTCTATGTCATAGTGTGCGCAGAGCTCCTCTTCGGGGGTGAGCGGAATGTTCATTACACCCCACATATTTAGTCAACCTTTGGGACTGACTTGGAGGTCTCTAGAAGCCTCCTGTATCATCTATGTGTGAGGTCCTATGCTTCATGTGTGAGAGAGTAAGTCAGAACAGCCGAACGACTACGCACAGCTGCCTAAAAGAGCGGGAAGAAGTGCGTAGAACGCGCAGACAAGGTATGTACGAAATATCAGGATTCTACGCGGACAGAGTTGCATAGGAAAACACTTGAACGTTTGGCTGCGAGAGCTTCGCAACAAGGTAGGCAGAATGGTACATCTGCTTAGGCACTGACACAATTTCGGTTTGCAGTTAATATTACGTCGATGCTGCGCATAACACTCATACAACATGCACCTTTACGGAAACGGTTAATTTCAATGGCCCGGAATTGAACTTACTAAGTTTTCCATTCTTAGGACTACCATAGAAATTTTTTTTATGATGAGACTGCAACTTTCATTTTATTAGTTTAGGCATAACAATTATCCCCTCTTGAATGTGCTAATCTTCATGTGTAATATCATTGCCTCAAGGCGAGCCCCTTTAATTTGAATTGCAGACCAGTCTGTATAGTTTGCTCAGTCAATGGTGTTAATTATAGTCAGAGGACATATCCAGCGCGGCAAAGCTGAGCGCCATTCCAGGAGCACCTATTGTAGAACCTAACAGCTTTCGTATTTTAAGCGGGCGGTCATTCGCTAGAACTGCTGAACCTATTCAGGACACGTACCAGTAAGGCAGACCAACGCTGACATTTTGCGTGGGCGCCGTGTTCCCAACGTTATAGCCGAACTTCTTCACGTCCTTAGAGATGATACTGAACGCCACGTTCACTTTCCCGTTTGACGTCGTTCTCGTAACTGCAAAAAATAGATAAATACTGCAAGTCAGGGAGCACACTCATGATTATTAGGCATTTTGCATGAACAACGCCGAGCCCCATGTCGTGATCATCTATATTATGCGCAAAGCACGTATACAGCGATTACGTGTATGCACAAGATCTGGGCAATTTCATTACACATTGTGACTCACTTTTTCGTCATTGGAGCTATGAGCTGATGTGTACTCCAAAGAAAGCACTCACGATGCACTGGCTGAGACATATTAGCGCAAAATAAAACCTACGACGTCAAAAAAGAAGACGAGGACGCGTGCCAGTCTGAACTGCTCATTAGCAAGAAATGTTTTCACACGTATTTCATTTCTTGACGAATGTGCGTAAACAAGAAAGCTAACACGTGTGTATCAGAGGCGGTTGAGAATAAACTCAAGTTTCGGCTCCAGCAAAGCTGCCCATGATTCACATATGCTATGATCTCTCTTTTATTATATATTCTAAGCTTCGAGAGCAACTGTCGAAGAAGCGTGACTGTTACTCCCGATATACATTTATCCACAATACAGGGGGATAGATTAAACTACCCCTTTAGAGCTTTTAACGAAGTGCTTTTCATGCCTGGTGTATTGATGTAACGGCGTCCGACGCAGACGTGCCGTCGTCACCTGTTTAATTAGAGGACGAAAGCGTACAAAGGAGGAAGGAAGCGAGACGATGAAGCAGAGCGTCAGCCATGACGCCCATGCAGCCAGCCAAAAAAACATGAACGTTTGGAGGCTTCGCACCATGAGCCACTGGTGCTCATCGTCTTTATCTATGGCTTCTCTGTCTTCAGACACAGTCTAGGGGGGATCCTAGCGGTTACCTTGGCCATCGAACAGACCTTGTGTCTCCCCGTAGAAACACACTAAATACTCACCGATTCGCAAGCAGCATGTTGGGCTTTCCTAACAGGTCCTGGCATTTATTGTTTTACGTACACCCAAGGTTTCTTCACGCAACAGCCACATCATACACCTGCTCTGAGTTGCTATCTAGGATGGCCCGAGCTTCTCGGTTAGGCTAGTTTGCTCCGAGCTAACTGCGTGGCGGCCATGCCATGTAGGCGATGCGGAGCGCGTGATGCAGCGTCGATAAAAAAGGCTATGAGAACGCGCATGACGTTAGGAACATATGTGGGACACAGCGGTGGCCCTACGTCAGCGCCACCACTTAGTCAACATTTAAACAGTGCAGCGACGTCAGCGTTATTGTCGCGCTATCTTTTTGCTGACTCAACGCGTGCCTCCCACTGTGTATTTGTGGGCGTGTGTCCTCTTTCGGACAGGTTCTTTCGTTCTACCTGCAGCATGAAAATTTTCACTCTCGAAGGCAGCACGGGTGCACACACAGAACTCTTGCGCTGTTCGTTTCGCTTCTACGAAATATTGCAGATAAACACAAGGAGAATTATTCACTAGGGGTACTCGCATCATGGCGGCAACGCGGCTGTGATTAGATGCCTCTTGAGCGCGTTGAAATCGAATGCGAGACTTGTAGCCACGTGGTAATATCACTTTTACTTCTGCGAGCGTGTGTGAATAGTCCACGCCATAAAGCTTATCACTCATGTCGCTCGACGTGAGTGCTGCTTCTCGGCAAGAGCGAGCACAGTGGGCCTACCCAATCTTCGCTGGGGACGTCTGTCAATCAAAATGATTGACGCGCCAACTCGGATGCAAACTCATTGATTCTGAGAATTCCCGAGTTCAAATCTTGACTGTGGTGGTGTCAGTGTGAGTGTCAAGCGTTTGATGCATGCGGTCAACGCTAAGCGCCAGCTTCATTGCATATAAAATAATTTGGTGAGCTTACACTCCTTGTGCAAAGCTGGAGCCATAGAGGAGCTTGTGATAGCCTAGCTTCTCGCAGCTTTTGAAGTTGGTTCTCTACTCATGTGCGTGAATGGCTTGAAAATGAAGCCCGCATCAGCTCTGTCTTAATTTTGATTGTACTGGTTGACTGAGGCTCAACAGCCATCACACTGAGCTGTCTTGTTTTCATTATTATGGTTTCAATTAAAAGGCAATTATCTCAGGCGCAATCACCAAGGGCTTGATCAATATGGAGCTGTCAAACGTGTTCTTGATTACCACGATACTTATTGGCATCATATTTGCAAGGGCTAATTACTATAGTTTTACTTAGCGTGCTCATGATTAACTTCATGATTAACGTCACGTTAAATAGCATTATTTTGTCCGCTCATCAACTAGCATGCTTTAGTAAGCCTGGTCCTAGCTTTACATGGCATGATTTGCGTGGTCTTCTTAAGATGTGGCGTAATTACTTTGGCCTTACCAGGAGTTGGCATATTTAGCTTGGTCATAGCATGTCCTGGCCTAACTGGCCAAGTATACCGTCCAGCCAAATAGCTTATTAGCCAGGCACGCGTGCTCGCCTGCTAGCTGGCGATTACAACAAAGTCGCGTGCCAGCCGAACAGAGTGCTAGAATGTACAGGCTGAATATGATGATCGACACATCCATGACCTCGAGTTTAGCTGCTGTCGCGATGTTGTAAGACGCTCGGCTGGTAGTCATCTCAGAGGCCGCCGTGCTGAGTATTCTTAAAGAGGCTAACTGCTGGCATTTAAAGCTTCAAAATATATTTAAACACCCCGTTCTTCTAGAAAAACATCATGACGATATTTCCTGAAACATCCATCGCATTGGTGCACTTCTGCACTCAGCGAAACGATAAACAAATGAAAGAAGATGCCTCTGGTTTGAAAACACCACCCAATCTAGTTGGTCGTCCTTGACACGATTACTGGTTCTATTGTAACCAATGAAACATGGCGCACTCAGGGGTGGATTGGACTTTGTCGTACTGTCTACTGGTAGGTAAGGGGTGTCGCCAGAGCTCAAAAATATCCTAAGTTTCACAAAACTCGGTCGATCTTGCATAGCGACCCTGGTTTCCTGGTCATGCCTCACTTTCGGGTAATGAACGCTCTCGAAAACTCACCCTCCTAGCATTCTCGCGGAGTAAGGCGCCCAACACAGAGCCAGCTTCCCCATTTCTCGCATATCACGAAGCCACACAGCATTGCATATGCCAGCGACAGCAATAGCAACTCCCACCAGACTATTTCGCACGAGAGGAGGCTGTCGCACTTCGTCGGCTGCAGACGAAAACTTCCCGATGCTGCAATTCATGAATAAAGTATACCCTACTCGTTATACCGATGCTTGTCTAGGATGTGGCGCGATTCCCACAACCTTTCACGCCACCGTAGAGTGCGCTACTGCCTACTTCCCTCCCCTATCTCCAATCCTTCCATTTTCTTGTGCCCCAGAGCAGCAAAAAGGCCTGGGCTGTCAGAGAGGTTTTCATAGGTGTCCTGCAATAAAGAACCTACTAGTTTTCTTTGATTTTGAATAAATTGTTTTCATCATCATTTCTGGCCGGCTGGCCCTCACTAGCGGTGCGCTACATGGGCTGCCCGCTCAGCGTGTTAAGCGATAGAAAAGGAGCATAAAAGAAGTAGGAAGGAGATATAAAGACTATGTGCATGTGCGGCAGTTCTTAGGGTGTCCACTGGGAAACCCCAATGCCCTCAGTGTGGAAGGCGTCAGGAGAACATCGAAAGTTCCGGTGGGCGGCACTGGGAACCACGCCGCCGGGGACGACCACGATGATTGCACGTCGACAGGAGAAGAGAAGAGGCCGAGAGGCGCGTTAGAAATGATTGTGGTGTAACTGGTGTGAAAGCCACAGTCGACGTCACTCTGAGCATCACGCACTGCAGCTTTTCGAGTGCCGATCACAGTGCGTTGGTCGAAACACGATGTTTGATCTGGACGAAGCGCGAGTCGTGCGTTGGGCTTACAGGTGATGCTGCCTCTCCTGACTTCACAAGACAACGGGGGCTATAAGAAATGGCTGTCCGTGACCGTGAATAGTGTATATGTGATAAGTTGGCAACTGGCCGTATTGTCTGGCTTCTCAAAAAAAATCAGAGGAAATCGTGGCAAGTAGAGCTTGTAAACTCGGGGTGCCACTAGAGGTGTATGAGGAGAAGTCGTGATTGGGCTAAGTCACTACGAGCACTTGAGCAGCAGACACTGGTGTGTGGAAAAACCGACGGCATGCAGCGTGACAGCGGCGAAGGGTCTGCTGTTTGAATGTACCACGGACTTCCACATGTGTTGGGACAAGCGTTGACTCTGCAGACGGACTAGCTGGCTTTGCTAAAGAACCGCTGAGTCACCGATGGCCGGCACTGCCACTGAACAGGTTTTTTCAGCAAATCCGACGGTGTCAGGGGCAGCGGCTGGCGTCGAATTTAAGACGGACAGATGTGGCAATGCCTTTGTTCTGAGAACCGGCACACCGGAGGCGAAATTAGTGAACTGCGGGCTCGTGGGTCTATCAGTCGATAGTTCGATTGAAGTGGGAGGGTGGTATCCGTCACCTGCGTAGCCGGTTGTTGACAGGCCAACGGTCTCGACTGACCGTCATGCGAGAGGCATGCAGCTGTATAAAGTTGAGCCAACTGCCGCGGCGTCACTTTCAGGAACACTACGGTGTTTTTGGCCACAATGTTAGAAAATGACATCTCAGATCATCGTAAGGGCGAGGGTTCCAGCAGGTATGTGAGACGTCGTTTTAAGACATCTGCTGGATGATATTCTAATACCACGTAGAGAAACTCTTGGATCCAGACTCTCGAAGGCTCCCGTAAACTTCTTGAACCATGACAATAGGCGAGAGGTCTGGAATTATGGCAGGGGTGGGTCGAATCGCCGATGTTGGGCTTGCGCTGGCTGGATCATGGCCACGGAGCTTGTTGGCTGTTGTGAAGCGCCAGTCGCTTGTCCGTGTGTCCGTGGTCATCATGTGTAACAATATAGTGGCGTCCGACGTAGACATGCCGTCGTAGCTGGTTTATGGCGAAAACGAAGTTGTACATCTCAGGAAAAAAGCGAGACGTCTAAGCATGGTGGTGGCTGTGCCATCCAGCAAGCTTGCTTG